CTATGCAGGGGGTCGGACTCGATGATCTATTGAGGTCCCTTCCGACCCTAACATCTATGCTATGCCAAATTACACAAGTTTTACAATTAAATCCCTAATAGCTTTTTCAATGCATTCAGTGGGCCCAGTTCCGCTCTCATTTACATCAAATTTACATCGGTGTCATACCAATTTTAGTGCAGCTGTTGCTGATTAGCTACCATTGAATTTAGCCCTGCCTCTGTATGACTGCTTCTGAGCTCTGCAGTATTACAAAGGCAGAAGCAAGAAATTTTCTCAAATCAATGACAATTCTTGTTTTTGAGTCCAAGGCATCATCAGATAAATCCTTGACTCAGCAATGCAAATAATCTCTTTTCCCCAAGCCTGCCCTTTTCCCCCACAAACTGATCTCCACTTACCATTGATTACTTCCCACTTTTATCCTCATATGGTGGAAAAGCCTGGGCAAAGGAAACTATCTATCAGGTATCCATATCAGTATTTATCATGGCTGATTCATGCAGCCCCTTTCTTGCTGTGATACTAAGACAAAAAAAGAATAGTATATTCCATGAAGGCACTGAACTTTGGCTTCATGAAATAGACTAATCAACAGTCCTAAATTTAGCTCAGACTCTTCTGTCTTTGCAGGATGGGTTCACATTTTTTTGCACAAAACAGGGAGGACAGAATCTGGGGACAAGCCTGAACACTTGCTTAGAATGACTAACTAGAATAATGAGAAGCTAGTGTCCTGTGGTGAAAGGGGACGTGTTACAGAAGGATGCCTCCAGCGGGGATTCTTAGGAGGGAGACAAGCACAGCCCCAATGGAGATACTAAAGGGAAGATACAGAGAATCTTCCAGGACCTTGCTTTGAGTTGTGAAGTACTATTGACTTGGCTCTACTCAAAGTTCAATATTCAATCTGATTTCCTCATTCTATTTCAAGTGATAACTTCTGGGGGGTCTTGAATTGCATTTAATTTCATTCAGGGAAAATGCAATTGGTTAAATATTAACTTCTTATTCTGCAAAGGATTAATTGATTCTGACAACAAGCAAAGAATTCCCTGTAAATAGAGATAAAGAGCCACACAGATCCTGCTGCATCATGAGTAAGGCATAGAAAAATAATCTCAAATTGCTTCTAGAATCACAAGATTTTGGTTATTTTGATCAATCTCATTCTAATTGGTTCCTTTGGCAAAAGCAAACACTAAAAATGCTCGAGATTAATATTAAACTATTTACATTTAAAAAAATAACTATTTCCCTTTTTCTTTAAAAAGGATTTGTATGGACCATCACATTCATTGTTGGCTCACCCATGCTATATTGTTCAGACTCTGGAGGTAAATGCCACTTACCTAATCACAAAAAAGAATGCCTTGTCAAAAAATGTCATGCTGCGATATTGTTAAAAGCCACGGATCTTTGTGCCATACTTCAACAGCTTGAGTCACAGATTCTTTGTCTGAGATCCTGCCACTAGGACTACATCTAACATTTTCATATGATGGAGCAATGGTATGTCAGGGAAGACTCAAGTGAACTTTATAGAGTTGGGCACCAATTGCAACAAAGCAGTTTAGACACAAACTTCAGCTGCCAAGTAATTACCTAGAGATGCAGCCAAGCTAGTGCAGCCATGCACTGAATCCCATGTTGTCATTGGTACCCAAGCCAGCTGGTTTAGAGCTAGCTAAGGCAGTATCTACCCATGCTGCATTCGCATCGTCTGATTACAGCTCAGCTCCAGCAGTCCAAGTGTATGAAAATGCCATCCCAGTACTCAGCACCAATAGCACTGGTGTTAAGTAAAAGGCTTCAGTTCTGTTCTCAGGCCATCTTTGCATGTGTGTAACTCTACTCTTTTTAACTTACTCCTGATTTCCTGACTTGTATAAATGAGAAGAGAATCAGATCCACAATGATTGGAACTATTTCCCAGGAAGTGGCATCAAGTAGATAAAGAAGAATGCCCCCGCTGCTGTAAGTTAATTGGAGCCCCTGTGTCCAGAGCAGTCAGAGACTGCTTTGTCTTTCCCTCCTCTTCAGTTTGTCCATATAGGAGAGGGCACTGAGCAACATGTGCTTCACAACCAGCAGAAGTCATTTGCTTTATACTGCCTGCACTTTTAATCCTGCTGTGTAGGGTATTCAGCACAGTTCAAACAATGGGCCAGGTTGACCATGGCCATAAATCAACATAGCTCTATTGATTTAAAGGAGCAACAACGATCTATACTGCCTGGTAATTGGGCCTCTAAAATCTGTTTTTTTAGTGCAAGTCTGGAAAAACGCCAGTGATTTACTCCAGCATAACTAAGATCAGAGATTGATCCAAAGCCCTTAAAATATTATTTCAAATTGCAAGTTCATAAAGCTAATTATTTTTCACGTAGATTATTAACTAAGCAGCAGAGATGTGTGTGACCTGGACAGTGTTAGATTACTTACACAGCAGAGTGGAATAAAAAATTCCCTTTCCAGCTATATATGTAGGACCAGATTGTTACCTGTATAAAATGGTGTCGCTTCACTAAAGTCATCCTCCCTTTCAAGCTCAAATTGATGACCCTTTTAAATTTTACATTAGCTGACATTCTGGCCTAGAGCATTAAAATATTACTCAGCACTGATATCTCATTTTTCATCTTCAAGGCCTTTGCAAAGGGAAACTAATTGCATAATCATTTAACTGCTTCACCAGAAGAATGTTACCAATTTGTGTGCTTATTTAAATGCCTTGATGCCTGGGACATTTAAAAAGGTTTTTGTTTTTTTTTCTAGTCACTGTATTTAATGACATACAACAAAGGGGCTGAAATAAGTAATTAACTCTTCTTCTCTACCAGAGTTTGCATTGTTCTGACTTCTCATATTCTGGCAATTAGGGGCTTCCTTATCTAAGACGCGTTAACTGGTATAGCAATTGACTTATAAACCAAACCACTGATTTTCTGTTTTAAACGATTGTCAGCCTATTCTGAGTGACAGGCTGTAACAAGTGGGCATCCTGGGGCTGGTCTAAATGTAGGCCCACCTACTTGTTTAACTATCTGCCTACCTCGCTTGCTGTGCCTTGATGATAATGATTAGAAGATGTTAATCAGGTGGGAGGCTGCCCGTTTACTTGCCCTGATGACAAGAGCCTATGTACATGACTCCAACCATCCCTTACCATGTCCCATGCCTCTCAGATGTTCCTCCAGTGCTTCACACTGAGACCCAAGCTCCAGAGTTTCACATGGGATTCTCATTCCCCACTGGAGCTCGTGGTCCCAGTGCCTTCACATGGGGCTCCAACCTCCCAGCAACTCTGGGATCAGGGCTCCCCTGCCCTCTCTGGGCTATAATCCCCTCTCCTTATCCCCTCACCTCAGGAGCTTCTCTTATAGCTCCCTGAAGGCTCAGCGCCCCACCCCCCTGGAGCCTCATTCCTAGTTCCCTAGTGCAACCTCAGAGCTTGACTGTGATTCTGGGAGCTGCCTCAGTTCTCTCCACCTGACCTGGGCCCTGCCTCAGAATTCACAGCGAGTCTAGGCTTGGTTTTACTACCCACCAGAGATGAAGGGGCTGGGGTTATAAGGCGCCCTATACTCACCTTTCATTGGGGAGGCAACTGGCTTGGTATTTGCAGGGAACACCCCGCAACAGGCAGCCCCACCAGACCATCCCTCCCCAGCAGGTTGCAGTTTTCTGTCATACCCAGGACAGGAGCCTTCTGCCATCCCCATAGCTCCTGCCCTTGCCTCCAAGGTGTTCTGAGCAGCAGTTCAGCTGGTGGTGTCTCTCTAGCTACTGGTAGCAGAATGCTGGCCTTGCTGCTCAGGGCCCAGCCCTTATAAGGAACAGCTGGACCCTGTTCCCCAATCAGGCAGCCCTGCCTAATTGGAATTGTAGCCAGCAGCAGGTTGGTTTGCTGCTGCTCATGCCCCTATGAGTAACAGAGCACACCCTGTGCTCTTTTACACAGGCCTACCCAAGTTTTATCTCACAAAGACTGTACGCCAATCAGAAACCAGCAATGCACATTACATAAGTAGAAGCAGGCAAAGAGCAAGCAAAACTAGGATATTTCTCTATTCTTGTAATATGCAAGAAATACGAACCATCATGAGTAAAGGACTGGGGGTCTATTCCTGGGATCTGTTCCCACTTCTTTTCCCGACTTGTGTAAGCTTGAGCTAATCATTAACCTGGAACTAATCTGAGGGTAGCAAAAAGTTGCCTTAAAGGAAAAGAAGTCTTAATTTGTCTAGCTTTTCAAAAAGAAAGAGAGAAATGTCTTGGGTATAGTGCATAATTACCTTGGAAGGGAAAAAACATGGATACTAAAAAGGTCTTTAACCACAGGAAAAAGCAAGAACAATAACTAACAACTTGAGTTTAAAGGCAGATGCATTTAAACTGGGAATTAAATGCACATTTTTAACAGTGAGAATGATTAACTACCAGAAAGAAACTGCTGTTGGGGTTGGTGGATTCTCCATCTCCAGAAATCTCTCTTGCTAGCAGATATTCACATAAGCTATTGAGCCGCATAGAGGAGAAACTACGTGAAATTCTACTGATGGCAATACAGAGAAACTCATGTTAGATGGTTTACGCAACTCTTCTGGCCTTAATACCCCTGACTCCAGGCTCATGAGACAATCTGTCAGAATACAGGGTTGAAATTCCACATTTTTAAGCCTAAGATTTTAAAGCCATTTTTAACCCTAAAATTTACTCCTTATCTCCACATTAACTTTCTCCTTTTTTACTGTTATTAGGTGTTTCAAGGTAAAAGGAGACATCAGTGTAAGATCATCATTTTTGCTCACATTAATGGTGATTTCCCTTGAGACTATTTTCCAGTCCCCATCTGATATGGCCTGAAAATTGCACTTAAGTTTCTAAAATAGTACCTTTTCCTTCGGTTCAGGTGAAGTACGACTTTCTCTATAACCGGCACCACGTCTGCTGTTTGGAGTCCTGGCATAGCATTGAGCTGCATAGAGTCTATGCCATCTTTATCCTGGTCGCCTTGTTTCTGGTCCCACTCACTGCCATGCATGCTGCTGCTCTACTCCAGGATTGGGTATGGATCAAGAAACGGATTGGAGACTCATCAGTACTAAATACCATGAAATGGCTAAAATAACAAGGTGGGTAACTGCCTTTCTCCTTAAACTTACTCCTTAGAATGACTGATACAAGATGTCAAAGAAGAAGTCACAGATTAAGTACATCAGTATGATCTGGAGGAAATGCTGTTCAGTTCATTACTCTGCCACTGACTCACAGTAGCACCTCAGACAAGTCTTGGAAGGTCTGATCCAACACATGTACTGATGTCACTGGAAGACTTCAGCCAGTGCTAGAGCACACTTCTACTTTACTGTTATTTGTATTGTGGCAATGTACTCTGGATAGAGCAGGGTGCTATACCAATACCAGGAGGGAGTGCGGAGGCGGGGGAAAGAATTGATTCCTTTCCCCAAATCTTACACCTACGTAAGTTCTTTGTGCCTCAGTCTTTCCATCTGTCTAACGTGTTCATAGTTCACATGGCTGCTGGGAAGCTTAAATCAATAGATGTGTCCTAGAATATACATTCTAGTTCATATTATGCCTGTGAAATTTTTCTACTGCATCAGATTCCTATTCCCACACTTTCCCCCAGAAGCAATGCTCAAACTAAGTGGCATGAAAGCCATGGAGCCAAGCTCAGAAAGCACAGCCTGTCCTTAGTGTGTCACAAGTGCAAGAGCAGCTTTATCAGCTCCCCCTCAAGAAACACAGCCAGTAGCCATGAGCTGCTGGGAGGAAGGTTGCAGGGTCACAAGAAGAAAGGACCCAGAGCCTGGTTGAGCAACTTAGTTAAGGTCCAAGTAAACATCTGGAACTTGATTTTTCTATCACAATCATGGGATACCTCCAGACTTACTCTAGGGTTAGTGAGAACAGAATCAGGTCCTTAGGTTTCTATGCATATCAGACTAGAAACAAACTGACTAACTTTATAGCTTAATCCAACTATTCTGGAAAATAGTTGGCAATATATAAACCCTGATGGCAAATGAATGAAGGTTAAACAGGCTTTTAGGATAGCTATGAAATGGTAGGGAAGTGATAGGGATTTGCCACGCTAGACTTTGCCATTGTCACCCCAAGAGGCTGGTGGGAGCTGCTTCCAGTAACTGGTAGCTGAGTTCCACAGGGTAATTCTTCATTGTGTAGAAGAAAGTGGATTTTTAATCATTCTTTAAAAAAAAATGTCCACCTTTTGATTTCATTTCTTGTTCTTGAATCAGATCACCCTATGAGTGCTTCAGCCCTCTGAACATCCAGGTGCATGTTGCAATCAAATGTTGAATATTCTCCCTTACTCTCTACTGTAAATGTCACCTTATCAGTTCACTTATTCTTTTGAACTGCTTCCTCCAGGAAGAAGAAACGAGCTGTAATGATGATGATGATGATTGTAGTGCTGTTCTTCGCTGCATGTTGGGCCCCTTTTCATGTTGAGTACAGTGAGTAGATTTGAACGGCAATGTCAAAAGGAGTGTGTAACATTTCCAGTATTGTTTTTTAGACATAGGTTTGAATTAAAGGCCTAAATTCCAACAGTCTTCACCTCTTTGGTGACAGGGAGGGAAGGGGTTAGAATCTAAATCCATTTACAAATGTTAACAGTTTATTTTTAAAAAGCTAGACCAAAAACACAATGTAAGCAACCACAAGTAGACATACAAACCACATCCAAATACTGTGGCTCAGTTCCCATTTTGGATAATAAGGGAGCTCCCACAGTCGCTGCTGTGACAAAGGATTAAATCCACCATTTCAACCCACTTCTCCAGCAAAACTCAACGTATGTGCTAAATGCAACAGCCCAAAAAGTGATGAACTATTTCTGATCTCAGGTCAACAAATGGAACAAGTGGATCTGTTCTGATGTGATTTGAGATTTAAATATGGCCCAATAAATTTACAAGTGACCTAATGGAGCTGGGCCACCTTTTTTAAGGGCTAAGAGAAATGTAGCCTAACATTTACAATATGTCTCTTCCCCCCATGCAGAGAAGAGTGCCCAACCTTTTTCTCCCTAATAAGGCTGAAAATTCCCAAAGAGATTAACAGACATACCAAGAGGCAGCCCAGCCTCACTCCAGCAGAGACAGTGGATCAGTTAAGCTGATGGGTGCAACATATGCACAGGAAAATTCCCTGAAAATGTGCTGCCAGCTACTCAGCAGGTTCTCACTTGCACACCAATGATGATAAATGCTACCAAATGTCCTGACTACACAATAGTCATTCCATGTCAGAAACACAGAATGTCTCCATAGGTCTGAAATGAAGTATTCAGTCACTTCAGGTGTTTCCTCACAACTGCACTTTTTAAGTGGTGTGGAAAGTGGACTAGGCCAGAGCCTGGAAGTGAGGGGTTCTCCTACCTTCTACTACCAGATCTGATGCTACTGCATAGCCTTAGTCAAATTATATAACACCCATGTCTCAGTTTCCCCATTTGTAACACATGGCAATAGCATTTGCTTCCAATGAGTGGGTGTTGTGGGGGGTTAGCCAGTGTGATATTAGCTCTAGCAACACAACATACATACACTCCTGAAGTCCCAGTTTCAGTGATTCAGAGAGACTTAAGCAAAGCACTGGCTTTGTGCTAGGGACTTGCTCCAAATTTTCTGTGATAAATTTTAACTGATTTTTTTTTTTTCATTTAAAATTTTCCTGCCAGGTTACTTTTTCTAACCAGTACTGGTAAAAAAGTGCTTAACATCATAGATCTGTAGGCACATGCAGCAGCGGTGATGGAGGCAAGAATTAAGACTAGGATGCAATGGAGGTATACGCTACCCTCTGGGAAAAAATGAGGTGGAGAGATACTGCAGAGCTATGCACAGATTATATATGCTACAGGAAAAGTCTGCCTCACTAAAGACAAAATTCACAACCACTTAGGTACCTTTTAAGCTGTAGGATGTGGAGAAATTAGAGCTGGCCCTGAGTGATCATGCAGAAGACTGGAAAGGAAATGAGTGTTGAATAAACTCAGGGACTGTATAAGGACATAAAAGGAAACATGGTGCGGATATTACAGTTCTTAGGCTGGTTATTTTCTAATCCATGCCTTTGCTCCGCAGATAACCTAGAGGAAGAATATGATGATGTCACTGTCAAGATGATCTTCGCCATTGTCCAAGCTGTTGGGTTCTTTAACTCTTTCAACAACCCTGTCGTTTACACCTTTATGAATGAGAACTTTAAAAAGAGCTTCTTGGCCATTCTCTTCTGCCATTTTCAGAACCCTGAGCCAGCTGATAAACAGGAGCCAGAAGTCAGAGAGGCACAGTATGCAACCGTCACATGGTGCCAGCAGGAAAGAAGACAGAAGCATGCAGAGCCACCTGAGTGCAGACAAGCTGGAACTGAGACTCTGTGAGCAGGTTGCATCCACAAAGCTAGAATCAGTGCATTCATCAGCAATTGTCACCTACCCGATGGGGAGCACCAATGAGATCATGCTACCCAGCGGACAGTCTGCATGATTGCTATGACAGCACGAACCAAAATACAATGGGCTTCACTTTGAGAGACTAACTTCCATCTTAATAAGAACAAACTCCACGCAGTGCTTTACTATTCTTAGTGTTCTGCTTCTTCTTTGCTTTCCAGATATCATTCTGATTCCCTTATGCCTGACACTGCATCAACGTGTTGAGAAAGGGACAGCTTGGTGCACCAGACAACCTTCAGAGTAGACAAGGCTGCCAATTTTCCAAGTGCTGGGGTCTGAGAAAAGATGGAAAGTCCTTCCTATTTTATATTATACCTTTGAGTGGACAATTCCATCCAGTGCCAAAGAAATCTGGCTGAGAGAGATCAGGGGTTGAGCCTTTTAGATGTTGGGCTTCATCAGATCTTCATCTATAGGGGCTATTAAGAGTGTTCAGAACCTTGCAGGGTCTGCCCTCCAAGTAAATTAGACCATGGAAATGCACACTCATGGGAAGTTACATGTGTGAATCGTATTTTCTCACTTGCCTCAAAGTGGGATAGGTCTGAGGCGGTTAGAAAACATGCTCTAGGCAGAAGGGCTCAGAAATCCATGTTGACGACGGTTCTTTGATAAGAAGGTCTTGGGCTACATGGAGCCTGATTCTGGTGTCAAACTGATGTTTAACAGCTAGGCAGGAAACAAACATGACATCCCTAGAGAATTCAAGGCCCCCACTTTTGACTAGATGAAATATTTTTTTTTCAGTTATAGCAAAAGGTTTCATTCTGAAATGATTTTTAAAAATAAATTACTTTTTTATAATGAAACAGTTTCAAGACATAAAAGGTGCCAGAACCAGACACAGAAGAAAGTTCAGAACCTGTTTGTTTGTTTTTTAATTGGAAGGTTTATTAAAACCGATCCTTTTCCCCTACAAAATACATTGTTGGAAAATGCCCAACAAGCTTGACCAACACAACCTCTTTGACTTCAGTGAAGTCATTCCTGATTTATACCAAAGCAAAAGCACCATAAGACTCCCCCCTTGATCCCAACTGACAGAGATTGTTTTACAAAAGTGGGAACTAGCACCAGCTTGTGAACACAGTACAGATGCTACTCTTCTAAACTTCAGAATATAACGCATCCTGCTGCTGCAGTTGCCCGCATACTGTTTCTCCAACAATAAACCAGTCTAGCGATATTATGCCATAACTACTAGTTTGAAGTGAGGTTGTAATGTATTGAGACATTTGCCCCAGTTTGAAAACTTGCTACAGTTTAGGCCTGTTATTGCTCTAAGACTAGGAGCTTTTTCCTTCCCTTATGAGTTAAAGCATCTGAAATGTTACCATGAGCTGCCCCAAAAGTAAAAATGTACCCACTTCCCCCAGGGCCTTTTGTTCAGTCTCTCTCTTTTCTGGATTCTATGTCAGTTTTACATTTGGAGAATAAAGTATTAACTCAAAACACCTGTGCCATCGCACAGAACACTGCATTTATAAAGGTCAAAGCATGTGATTACTGTCATTTCCCTGACCTTACAGTTGGGGGAGGATGTGGAAGAAAAGGGCACATTTCTTCCATTTCTAATGGCTGTCGAGGTATCATCCTTTATCAATTAACTTTTAAAAAGGACAAAGCTATCAAATGCAACAGGGGTGTAACAGAGAGCCCCAGGCTCTCTGGTCCTTTAAGAGAGAAACCAGCCCAACCTGGGAGCTGTGTAGACTAGGCAGGGCACCACAGCTGCAGGGAAACAGGCTAATAGGTAATTAGCAGGCACCTGCAGGTGGTCAGCAGCCAGATGCAGGCAAGGCCTGGGGAACATGTAAGCCCAAGGTTGGGGCTAGCAGTGGAGTCTCT